CAGAGTCATATGATTTACATTTGGATGCTTGACAACCAGTTCATATTTATGATGGTTGTAGTGTTTTTTGCGATCTTCTGATGAGGTGAATGGGGAAGCCAGATTCACTTAACAACCGTGTTACTAACTTAACTTCAGTGGTTCACTTTACAAATGCGGCAAGAAAATTCATAAAATGGGACAAACTCACTTAACAAATTTCTTATTTAACAGCAGAAGTGTTGGGTTCAATTGTTGTAAGTTGAGGACTACCTGTACATTGCTATTTCTTTGTGAAAACATTGGACCATCTTATTTAAATGTTAGTTAAAATTGAGAAAGAGGTGTAAGTTTGTACATGTAATAAATACCACAGATTTTTCGGTTATTACAGAACCAGCTACTTTGCTATAGAATGTCCAGCTGACAGAAAAGTGGGCACCTTTAGACTGACAATACTATGGATTAGCTGACACCCCTGTCAGCTAATTTTTTTAGCAAACTGTTTGCAGTACTCTATGGTTTCTGATCTGCTGGGCGGAATAGTTGGGGACCAATATTAGTGGATTTTTTCTTGTTCTTCCAGGTCTTGTCTTGACTTCAACAGTTTTGTGTAATTTCCATTTCTTAACAATGTTTGCCAGAATCAAAATTGCTATCTGGAAGCGATTCTTGTTTTTCTTTTACATAGCCTTCTCCTGTTTTGTAAGAATGAATTGTATTTATTTTCAAGTCCTCACACAGCTGTTCAGAAGAACTAATGTACATTGAAAGTAGATGGAACTCCAGTCCCAGCCTTAGAGGGTTCAAAGTATTCATTTATCTGTAGAATTATAGGCCTAACAAATCAGCCCCTTTTGGGAATCTCTGAACAACTGTAAGACTCCATTCATATTTGCAGAAATATGTAAAGATTAGATAGCCTTTGTTTACTTGATAATTGAATGAATTGTACCATTTAAGCAGGGATGCCTAACACGTGCATGAAACTCTATCTCTAGATAAATGCAATAAAATATAAGATATATTTTCTTTATTGAAATGCCGCCTATTTCTTGTAAGTAATCACATAGCCATGAAAAGAAAAATTAGTTGTGATACCGATAGGAAATAAGGTTAAACTAGTATAACACCCCTGAGTTAAGCAGTAATTTGGTATGTTAATTAGTCATTTCTTAGATGGACTTTATTGGCATAGTTAGAAAGCAGATCATGACTGAAGAAGCAATAAATGTAGACAGATCAAGAAACAGAAACCTTAAAATGTGGCTTTCAGGAGTTGTTTCTTTAGATAAGGGGTCTTCAAACTTGGCAAGTTTAAGACTTGTGGACTTCAACTCCCAGAATTCCTCCTTCAGTCATGTTAGCTCAGGAATTCTGGGAGTTGAAGTCTACAAGTCTTAAACTTGCCAAGTTTGAAGAGCCTTGCTTTAGATGGTAAATACGTACTTCCCCAAATTATATGAATAAGCTTGGCTTGAGATACAGAATTCAGTGGAGTCACACCTTGCAGAGAAAACTGAAAACTATCCCTCTTTTACGAAGATCATATTAGCAACTGAAACAGTTTCCTGACTTCTAATCCCACTTCGTTAATGAAGAATCACAGAGAACTTCCAAGCAAACTAGGTTGGGAAGCTTTGGACCATCTGGCAAAAGTTTTGTTTCAGTTTATTGTTGGAGAACTTCACAACTACAAATGCTCTTGATCTGATTTCCCCTGTGCTTTTTCATCCAGCATTGACCCACTTTTTGCTGATATTAGAACACTGCTGATGTGTCAGAGATGCACTTGTTCCAAAAGAAGCTGGGAAAAAGAGTCCGCCTTCCTATATTTGCCAAAAGTGAGCCCTGTTGGCCTTGTCCTATTTTGCTGGCGGCTGAATAGCATGCTATCTCTTTAAAGCAGGATAATTTTCTGAACTAGCTTGGTCAATTTGTTATGGTTTAAAACTGTGGAGCCAGCTGTCTGCAATCTGATGTAATGTTGCCATGGAAACTAGAAATGAAACACTTAAGCATTCACTACAGAATTTCTGCATCCGACATTAGCCAAAATAATTAAGACTTGAGCCATTAGGGGCTTTTGAATGAAAGGGGTGGGGGCTTACAGTGTGGTTGAAAACCAAGCTGTTCCTGTTTACAGTATTCCATGTGTTTTCTTCTTTGAAATATGCAAAGAAATCACTCTGTAGAATGACACGTTGTGGGGCCCTCTTTTTTTTTTTTCCTATTTTTTTGGCACAGAGTTACTGGCTATGTCGAAACATTTTCAGGCAGAAAGCGGCATGCATGCCTGTAGATGCAAACAACTCAAAGTTGTGGAATTGGAAGCATTCTGACCACTGAGTGGGATAGCCAAAGTGCCACATGCTGTAAAATGTTCCCTTTTGGTATTAATATGCAAACGCCTTTTTGTGTAGGGAATTACTTAACGTCGGGCCAGTTCATACGTTTCCTATAACACATGTGCATTCAACGCAGCAGCATCTCCGAAGAGCATTTTTCTCGGAAAATGCTTACACATATGCAAAGAGAAAGAGTGTATCTGTATTTTATTTTAGAGTCCAAGCAGGACAATATATTATATTTGCACATAAAGCTAAATTGTTTGAATAATGGCCCAAAGAATGAAACTGAGACATCCAGATCACAAGGAATAATCATTTGATCCTACCCTACCCTGGTCAGACTCGACTAGAATTCTGTGTCCAGTTCTGGGCACTACAGTTCAAAAATGACAATGGCAAAGGTGAGCCTCCAAGATCATTGAAAGACTGTGGACCAAGTCCTATGCACCCTCAGAAGGGGAAGTAGGTGGCAATTGATCTGCTTTGTCCCATGTGGCTAGTGTGATACATAGGTAAAGGTTTCAGGTGTGAAACATACCTCCATGTGTAGTGCCTTCGTTACCCGAAGACAATTCTCTGGTCATTGGCCAGCGTGACTGTACACCAAGGTGCATGGAGCACGGTTACCTTCCCAACAAAGTGGTGCTTATTTATCTACTTGCATTTGTATGCTTTCAAACGGCTCAGTTGGCAGGAGCTGGGATGAGTTCAGGGGTGGGATTCTACCAGTTTGCACCTATTCGCTAGAACCGGTTGTAAACATTCTAAGCAGTTCGGAGAAGAAATTACTGGCCTAATCCTGTAAGGAAGGCAGGAAGGAAACATTCTGGTGTTGCTTACAGAAACTGCCTCTCCGTTAACGCTTATTACCTTCTTGGTAGGACTAGACTTCCTGTCTCTGGAACTTCTCTGGAGTTTTTTCCCCCTCCTTTGCTGGTACTTGCTTGTGTGGAGTGACCATTCAAAGTTACAATGGCACTGAAAAAAGTGACATGACCATTTTTCACACTTACGACTGTTGCAGCATCCCTACAGTCATGAGAGGCCAGGCGAGGAGATGCATGCCTCGATGTGAGTGATATTGAGTTGGCCACGTCCAGCCAATAACATGACTGCCAAGCCACGCCCACCAACTTAGTCACGCCCACAGAACCAGTTGTTAAAAAATTTGAGTCCCACCCCTGGATGAGTTTACAGGAACTTACCCTGTCCTGCGTTTCTCAGGACTCAATCCTGGGCTGTCAGCGTCTTTAACCGCTGAGCCATCGCGTCCCCAGCTTGATACATAGGGACATTATATACATTTGCTGTTAAATAAGGCCTATTTTGTCTGACTTAAAACACAGCTAGACAATAAGGCCCAATTTCAACCTGGTAACTGAAATGCCCCAAAGTTCACCCACAGGAAGTTGCTCTTGGGGTTCTGAGCTGGGGGGCTGGAACTGGGATGAATTGATCAGGGCTTTGTGTGAAAGCAAAGGCCGAAATAGAGCCTTTGGGGAGTTCCAGCTGGAATCTTCTCCGCTCCTTGGAATGCAAGCCTTGTACAGTGGCAGTTCTGTACTGTAAAAGCCAAGAGTTAAGTCCCCCTCTTCTTTTTTTCCCCCCTTCTTTCTTTTGGTCTCCCCCTTTCTACTTTCACACACAGAAATTCTAAATGGGGCCAAACAGAGGAAGTAGCATATTGAGCGCTGGGTCTGGCTTGAAAATGAGAGCTCTGATTTGGTTCACAAGGAATGGATTGTTTCAGGCTGTGGTGTCACTGCTGCTGGAGAGGGAGGATTCTTTCTGTCTCTGTAATGCTGGATACTTGAGGGAAAACAGCTGGAATGGAGCAGGCAGCATCTGATGTGAGACCAAATGGGAAGCTGGGGAATATGGGCTAAACTAAAAGCCTGCAAAGGTCAGAGTTTTCCTTTGGTCAATTCTTGAGGAATGCTCGGTCTATATTAACAGACAATCTTGAGAATCTTTAGAATGAGAAGCCCGGGATGGGGGGATAAAGAGAAGGAAAAAAAAATCTATGACTATAACTAATAAAATACATCGGAGTGGAGAGGATGAGCTCTCCTCTTCGTTTCCCTCCCCTCCCCTCCCTCCCCCCCTCTCTCCCTTCCCATCTCCTCATTTTTGCTGCTGTTGCTGTTTTTGATTTTCCCTGTTAAGGCTGGAAAAAAGGAGTCAATGAGAGTGTTTCAATTCAGCGCAGAAAAGCAGTTTCTAACCAGGCTTTTCAATGTGAAGTTCCGCCAGGCCAGGAAGACCATTGCCTGACCCAAACCACAGGAGCTTAACTAACAGGGCTCAGAGTGCTAGGACAGTGTCCTGCCTGGGCTGTGTAGGAAAGCAACGTGGAGATTGCTATTATCACACAATGTGCCAAGGCAGAGAGGACGATGAGGACTGGAACACGTTTCGGTGTCTGAGGTCTTACTTTGTGCTAATTTAGAAGTGAAAATGGTATGTTCCATTCTTTTTAAAGTACTCTGTGTACGTGTGGGAGGGAGGGAGGGAGGGAGGGAGAAGAAATTGTGAATATTCAGGATGAGAGAAGAACTGTTTCAGGTTTCAGGATTTGCCTTGTTTTAGGACTCTGGAAAAAGAGACGCTTCCCTGCCTTGAGCTGTGCAACTATTCCTCTCCTAACGTTTCCTTTTGCTTCCCTGCCAGTCAAGAGAGCAATCAGATGATGAATCAGAGGAATCAGTGAAGTTTAAGAGACTGCATAAGTTGGTCAACTCAACTCGCCGAGTGAGAAAGAAATTAATTCGAGTGGAAGAAATTAAAAAGCCCAGCACTGAAGGTAAGAATTGGCAGCTTTCACGAGAAGATGTGCAGGCACGGTGGGAAAGAGAGGGTGGGTGTGCCATCCCTTTGGAAAAAAGAGTATGAGAAACTTGCCAGAGGAAAGAAAAGAAGAAACATTTGGTGGCCCTCTGAATTGATTATTATTTTTTTATGCCCTGTGCTCATATAAATCAGCCGGATCAGAATAGCTCTTTGCATTAGCGGTCTGAATTTATGGCTGTACTGTATTGTACACTATTTTCTAGGTACTGTTACCTACTATGGGTGTGTGTGTGTGTGTGTGTGTGTGTGTGTGTGTGTGGCTGGGTAGTCTTGCTTCTTTTATTACAACATAATTTATTGGGGACAGTCTCAAGTGAAAAGGCTATAGAGAGGTTATTATTGGTAGATGGATGGACTGTATCAGATGAACTTTCGCCCCCTTCCCCCTACCCTCCCATCCTACAAAAATCTGCAATCCCAAAGTGACTTTTTTTTGGGGGGGGGGAGGGTTGCACCCGGAGCGGAAAGCGCTATCAGCCAAGCAGAATTCTTCCTGAAACGGGACAGAAACGGGACAGAATCAAGAAAAGGGGCTCCCTGGTCCCATAACCTTGCCTGCCAAATTCATTAGAATTCTTAGTTCTGCATTTATCAGTATAGTAGGAGAATCTGCATATAAGTGAGTATTATACACTTTTCCAGGAAGTGACTAATGTTTCATGAAATTTTCATTAATGAAATGTAATAGCGAGTACCAGATTAAGAGTTTGCAGGGAGCAGAGTACAGGTAAGAGCAAAAGATACATTACCCTTCTGATTTAAAAAAGATTATTTTTTTCTTTTTCCTAAAGCCTCTGTCACTTTTCCTCCTGCAAGTTCTGAAGCCAAGAAATGTGACTCGTAAATGAGCTGTGTGGTTCGGGAGGGATGAAAAACTGTAAGAGAAAATGGAAGTGGGGCTTATCCCATAGGGTTAGAAAGCGAGTCAGTTTCTCATGGGATGCTGAAACATCTGCTGGACCGACACCACACCCTTCCAAGTTTGGCAAATGGTTCTTTCAGCAGGAACGATGAGCTTGTCAGAAAATAGACACGTATCACTTGCATAGAAGTCAGAGAATGCCACAATTGATTCCACAGTAGAGAGAGATTTTAGCCCTCTAAAGTAAAATATAGTGAGCTTCACTTTTATAATATTTATTTGGAATTGATTTTAAAAAGTAAAATAACAGATAGACATTAAATATTATTCTGTGGCAATAACTAATTATTATTCTAATATTGTTATTTTTTTTATTATTCTGCAGCAATAACTAATAACTAACTAATTATATACATTTAAATTCAGGAGAGGAAAAGAGAGGCCTGATAGAGATGTGATTGGGTTGGGGTTTGTTTGTTTTTTGGGTGATAATAAAAATATTTAAGGAACTCTGACCTTTTCCAAGCTCTCGAAATCAAAGGCAAAGAAAACTTGTTCCATACTCGGTTACTCTACAGGTAGTCCTCAACTTATGACCACAGTTAAGCCCAAAATTTCTCTTGCTAAGTGAAACCTTTGTTAAATGAGTTTTGTCCCATTTTACCAACTTTTCTTGCCACGGTTGTTAAGTGAATCACTGCAGTTTGTAAGTTAGCAACACGGTTGTTAAGTGAAACTGGTTTCCCCATTGACTTCGCTTGTCAGAAGGTTGCAAAAGCGGATTGCATGACCCCTGACTTATCCATATTTGGCCCGGGAAGAAAGATCAACAGAGGATAGGAATTTATCTTGACATACATAGACACACTATATTTGTAGTAAGGGTTGGATTTGACCTCTAACTCGAAGCATTTTTTGTGGCTGAGACCAATGCACTTTTGGTCCTTTGCTATGGTGATACATCGCCTTAATAGCTTATTATTTTGATGACTGTGTTGCAAGTCAAAAGGGGGCATTTCAGCCTTCATCAGCATCAAAATCTGAACTTTTGATGGGAGCCAGTTGTAGGTAGATCTGTGTTTAACTCCACTAGTTGCCAATTTGTCTTCAAGCAAAAGCCGGAATGCGTTTGAGACCAGATTACTAGAACACAACATCTGCCATTTTCTTTGCTCCCCAACCTTCCAATGCCATAACTATACCTAGATTCTGGCCTTCCTATTTTGGAGAAATCCTCATAGACATGTCTCTGATGCCATTAGGCAAAGGTGTTCCCACAGTAAATTCTATTCCTTTCAGCTTTTCACAATTGGCTTTTGTTTTGTATTCTTAGGATTGAAATGTAATCATTTTAAGTTAGATTAGTTTATTTTCTGTAGAGCTTTAGTCTGCAGAATAATGCAAATATGTGACTGTTAATTTGTAGTATATTTAATCTTTTAGTTATCTGCTCTTCCAGCCAACATTTGAAAAATGTTTGTGTTTCTTTTTTTCTCATACAATGAGTAGTAGCTCTTGCTATTCTATAAATATGTAGACATTTCTTGCTGTGACCTTTCTAAGTACAACATTAGCCTTTTTAGAGTTGACGAAACCCAGTGCATACTTTTCAGGATTTTACTTGAGAGGAGAATCAAATTAGTGTACAAAAACTGAGTGAATGTATTGCAAGTTTTGAGTTTAATCCAAATGAAACATTCGAGTTAAAAGTCAAATATTCAATGTATTTTGTTGGATTCTTTCCCTACTATATCTTGTTCTACTGTCAAAGTGGATAAATATATCATAATATGGTGTGGGTTTTTCCCCTCTACTAATAAGCAGAAGGAGGAGGAAAGGAATTTTAAAAAATACAGCTTTTCAAATAGAGTATTTCTATTCATATATTACTTTCACTATATTCAGCTTGACTATAGGTATAGAGAGAGAGGATAGGTTATGATACCTATCATTTTCCTTAACTCCTCCATGTAATCATAGATGTGCAACTTCCCTAGTTTCGCCCTTTCTTACTTAAAATGGCACATTCTGTAAGAAAAACGCCCTCAGACAGAAATTCTGTCCACTGTTTTGCAAGATTATTGCACACAAACGTCACAGGCAATAAATTCACAATTGATGACACTATTTTAAGCCCAAACTACCTATTTCTAATGTTAAATTCATTTCTTTGGCATCGTTGACAGTTGTGTGTATTAGAAACAAAATAGACTATATCCAGAGCTGCTGCTGCTGCTGCTGGCTCCTTCTTACACTCCTTTAAATATATGAAAACTGACACCGCATTCCCCTTTCATTCATAAACTCAGTCTTCTGCATCTGGTTTTCCTTTGATCTTCCTATCTATTTCTCATTTTACTTTATTAACTGCGTATAAATAGTTGAATTTATTCTTGCACAGTAAATTCTATTCCTTTCAACTTTTCACTATTGGATTTTTTTTTTCTTTTTGTATTCTTAGGATTGAAATTTATTTTCAGTTAGGTTAATTATTTTATGCACAGATTTGGCCTTTTCCAAAAAATCATCTAATACTGTTGAGACACCCATCAATAGGCCAGTATTGCTTCTATGCATCTGTTTTATTCCTTGATGGTGCCCAGATTCTTCTGTTCTTCAACTACAAATAGTCCTCGACTTAACAACAGTTCATTTAGTGACTATTCAAAGCTACAACAGCACTGAAAAAAGTGACTTATGGCTGTCTTTCAAACTGATGACGGTTGCAGCATTCCCATGGTCATGTGATCAAAATTCAGATGCTTGGCAACTGACTCATATTTATGGTGGTGCAGGAGTCATGTGATCACCTTTGGTCACCTGACAAGGTGAGGAAGTCAGACTCACCTTACAACCCTGTTTTTAGTAACACGGTTACTATACTTGACAATTGCTCTGGTTCATTTAACAACTGTGGCAAGAAAGGTTACAAAATGGAGCAAAACACTTAACACTTAGCAACATAAATTTTGGGCTCAATTGTGATCGTAAGTCAAGGACTATCTGAATTAACTTATCCTCACACGTATTTGGTCGAACAAGACTAAGAAGTCTTCACTTTGGGATATACACCTCTCCCTCCCTCCCTCCCTCCCTCTACAACCCCTCCCTCTCTTCTTTTGTTGCAACCACGTTAGCTACTGAGAACTAATATAGTGGCATATTCCCTTTCAGGTGTGGATGATCACTCCTTTGATACTCCCACAGGACCAGATGCTCGACCTGCACTTTACTCTGGAATTCACAAGAAACCATTCGTTTTGGATAATTCCTGTGAAAAACAGCCAGATAATGAAAGTGATTCACTGACCTTATCTCCCTCATCCAGCTGCCTGGACACTTGGGGTACAAACAGGAAATTGCTGAAGACCTTCAGTAAATCTGATAGTCGTGGCCTTATAAAACCGCCCAAAAAGCTTGGGACATTCTTTTCTTATCCAGAAGAGGATAAAATACCCAAAGTTTGTCGTTCTTTAACGGATGGAGAAATGAAGAACCTTGGCTCTCTCAGTCATGGGGTAAGTAAAGAAAGCATTTGCTTTTATGACAGCAGGTGCAAGCATCATGTCCTGGTATCTTTGGAGGAAATCCAGAGTGTCAGGAAGCAGATCCGGCTAAAAAAGGCAGATCCTAATTATTCATGTTCTAGAGCTTTTCTCTGTCAGCGTCCTGCTAGGAAAGGTGTCTCGCCTTCCATCTGCGATCTGCAGCTGCTTCATCACAAACCCAAGAGGCTAGGAAGAGGTGGAAGCTGTGGCTTCTCAAACAGAAGGCTTCGAGGGTGCAATTCAGTCAGCGAGTTCAACATCACATATGTGGTGGAAAGAAGCCTGTACAGTCACCTCAACCTATCGCATCTGGTGCGGCCCGTGACTGACAGAACCTTGAGCAAAAGTGAAGAACAGGAGTTGAGGCGGTGCCTACTGGAGGAAGAGGCGGCGGCAAAGAGGAAGTGGGCTTCTACAGTCGACCGCTGTACAAAAAGGGTTCTTTTGAGAATCCACCAAAAGTCTGTGAGTTTTCACCAAAGGTGGCCACAAGCTCCCATGAGGTTGCAGTCAGCATTGCTTGGGGTTTGTTTGTTTTTCCCCTCATCATGAAGTTTGAAAGGTTTACCATTTCATTGCCTTTCTCTTCTCTCTCCTCAATCTTCTCCTAATTATTGGCCAATGAGATTTTCTAATAAATATTGAGACACGCTATTCTCGTTCCTTGTTCCTAAACTGACAACATTTTAAGGGAAAATCCTTGCCTTTTAGAATCAACTAAATACGAGAAGGACATATTCGGACAGAAAATGGCTTTTATGTTCCATATTTGCTTGAATCAACAATATTAAGAAGAAATAAATAAATAAATATGTAACTAAATACATGGAGAGAACCAGTTTTGTCTAGTCACTAGTGGTTAAGGTATCAGTCTAGAAAGTGGGAGTTAGCCATAAAAACCAGCAGGGTGACCTTGGGCCAGTCACTCTCTTTCAGCCCAACTCACCTCACAGGATTGTTGTTCTGGGGAAAATAGGAGGAGGAAATGGAAACTCAGGTTTACCACCCTGAGTTATTTATAAAAATAATAAAGGCATGAGAAATCAAAAATAAATATAATTTTAATTAAAGCCAGTTGTACAGTGCATTCAGATGATAGATTCTGAACTGAGGAACTGTGGGGTGGTTCAGATGATGCTCTCTGGCCCATCATATGGAGAAAATTAGAGTTTTAGAGATACAGAATTTTAGGAAGGTAGGTCATCATTCACCTTTCTACCTTACTAGGTTGACAAAAAAGCTCACCCGTTGCCTCTAAATTATGGTTTGGAATACCTTCTCAAACTGGCGCCATGTGACTGATGAAAAGGTGTGGTGAATCCTTCCTAAAAAGGAGTAGAAATACTATATAGATCAAACTAGAGCAGGATCTTCATCTCTGGTTTTGTTTTGTTTTTTTTGGCACTTTTTATATCTTTCCAAATATTCCATATGTATCTGATATGTTTGTTTTTTCTGTGCTTACTTCCATATTTCTCCAGAGCAGCCTCTGATCAGAGCAGCCCACCTTAAGCCTCTGCCAGCATCTTTGCTCCTTAATAAATTCCGATTTCCTCAAGCCCTTTAGAAAGACTTGCAGCAAGACAATTTCATCAGAGAAGAAAAGGAGGGGGGGGATCATTTCCATTGCTTTTTTTGGCACAGTTGCAAGGCTGCAAGCCCACCAACCAGCTCATTATGCTGCATATGACAATATCCAGGGAAAGCAATTCCCTTGCATTGCAATCTCGGCATAATTGTGGCTTTCCCAGCTGCCAAGCTAGTAGTGGTGATGAGTGGGTGATGTGGAGAAATGAAATTTCTGTGTACTCTGCATCATTAACTCCTTTAAATGTTATGATTCATGAAGGGGTAGAAGAAGTAGAGGGACTCAGATTGGAATCTCAGCTTATTCTTTATCTCTGTATGCTGACTAGTGAGGGAGAAGTAAGGAGTATGTATGTAAAAGAGAGAAAGAAAAGCAGTGAATTGAGGAGAAAATTGATATATAAATGAAAAAGATACACATAAAGAAGAAAGAGTTAGAGGGCCAAAGGGGGATCCTACCTATTTTTTTGACTGAGGATCCATCCATCATCACATTGTGTGGCTATTGATAACTTTCTTCTCAGAAAATATGGTTCTCAGTTGTTATTTTTTAAAAAAAAGATTGCCACTCTTAATTTTCACCAGGCAAAGATCTGTACAGATCCTTTGCCCTGGCAAATGTGCTTAGGATTGCAGTGCATAATTGCTCTGTGAAATAAAATATTTAATTCCCAGAACAGATATAGAAAAGTAAGGATGAGAGCCAGGGATCTAAAGCCATCTGGGAAGTTCATAGCTGGATTATATTTTTGAACCAAGGTCTCGGGTTGAGGCAATCATGACTAACGTTCCAAGAAACTTGAGGGAAAAAATTGATTCTGACAGACAAAAATCTCATTTTTGCTAACTTGTAAACTATGGCTTCAGTTGGCTAGTAGCCATTGTAAAGCTGCTAATTTTTTTTCTAGGATAATTTATCATTTTTCTCCAATGCTTTGTATGTTAGTGGATTCTTTCCTACTTTGTAACATATTTTATTACAATAATTTCTTTGACGAAGATGGTATGTAGAGAATATTTCAGATGGTGAATATAAGAGGCAATAACATACTCTTAAAACTATTTTGTCCTGCAAATTATTTGATTGTAATCCTGTTACTGTTATTTACTTTGTATTGCCAATATTGGTAGCAAGAATTAAACATCCTTATATGACATGACATAGGCTAGAAAGTCTACATACCTACAGCCTATAACCGAGGTGTGTTCAACCATGGCTGGCTGGGGAATTCTGGGAGTTGAAGTCCACAGGTCTTAAAATTGCTCCCCCACTATCAGCTACCCTTGTCACAGTTGAATTTCTGGAGGTCCCTCAAGATCTGGTTATGGCAGCAGAGCTGGGATCCCCAGAAATGGATGAACTAGTGAGATACTCCATTATTGTTAACATCCCTTTGTCTATTTTTGTTTGTTTTAGTTTGGTTTTTCATACTTTTTAATGTATTTATTAACTCCTTTTAGCTCTGTTGTACCATGCCCAGAATTGCTTGCTTGTGAGAAGGGTGGCTATATAAATTGGTCTAATAAATAAATAAATAAATAATAAAATAAAATAATAACTAGGAGGTGTTAGATTGCATCATTGGAGAAAAAAGCTATATCTCTTCTCCTTTTTTTTCATGTGAAAACTTGGATTAAGCCCTCTTTTAAGAAGAGCAGATGCTTTATACTCTGCTTGTGAATTTTAGACACTATTCTACACTGTCTTCTTCTGAGATTATAATTCATGTTTACTGCAACCTCAGGAGCTACGTCATCCCTTGTCAATACGACTGATATTACATGTGTTGCTTTTACATATGTTTTGGGAATTTAAATTTATTTTAGTGGCAAAGGCATGCCTAGAACTTTTAAAGTATGTGCATGATCATTTCATTTAAGGATATACAGTCTCTTCATCTATAGTTTTATTTAGCATGTTTTTGTGAAGTAATTGAAAGTAATGAACTATATAATAGCAAGCATAATAATACAGTTCCTTGAAATATAACATATATAGCACATTGCCAAAAAGCAACTTGGAACTGTGAAGTTTTTTGTATGCGTGTATGATTCCATATACCATCCATGTGAATTCTGCTGTCATACATACTCACTGCCTGCATACACAAATACATGAAGACCCCCAAATCCTTGTAATCCTTGTTTGATATTAAACTTTCTGAAATAACTTTTTAAAATTGTTGTAGCATTCCTTTGCTATTGACTTTCTTGTTAAATTGATGTTTTCATGGAAGTAATACAATTATATGTTCAACAGCAAAGGCTTGTTTCATGAGGATAAAAAACATACTTCATATAGGTTGTCTAGAAGAGCTCATAATTGGCTTTTATTAATGTTTTAATTGGTAGCAGACTTAATAATGAGATATTACATATACAGCATTTACTATTTACAAAGGTTATGATGAAGGATAATGACCATGTCCTGATTGCTGCTGTTGTTTTTCTATAAGGTGAAGAAAAACAGAGGGAATAAGGTTGAAGGACAAGATATAAATGCATAGCTCAAAACATAGAAATAGCCAATTTATTTCTGGAAAAGAAATAAATTTATTTCTGTATTGTAGACCTGAAAGGGAACTGGACAGTTCTATTGAGCTCCAAAGGGCTACCATCTTTTCAATAATGAACACTTTACATATGAGGATCATTATTAAGCACCAAGTAAATATGCTTTCACTTGGCTGTGTTTTTCAGCTTTAAAAAGAAAATTAGTGTCATTACGCTGACCTGTTTAGGCAAGCAGAACTATTGTATTCAGTGTCAGTGTTTCTTGCTTGAGATGTTTCTTTGAGAACAACTTACTTCTCTAATTACTTCTGCAAAATTATGCCACTGCACATATCTGTATTCTCTCTTGTAGTAGTATGAAAACTGCTTTGCTCCATACAGGCCTTGGTTGTAGTCTCTGAAAGTGGAAATTGTCAGTTCAGAGATTGAAGATGTCATTATTGAGTGAATCAACCATTTGGGCAGATGCTTAAAATTTCAAGGCTTTTGTCTATTTCAAGTACAATAAAGTGGAACATGTTGTTGTTAATATTCTGTGCCCAAATGATTCCCAAAACATGGGATTATGTAAAACTATTCCTCACTTAGGAGATAGTTTTAAAACTCCTTTATTGAAGATCCTGATTCCAGTATGAAGCAATAAAATAATTAGTAAAAGTCCAGGAAGGGAACATGATGCATGAACATAATCCAGAACATTTTTTCATGCTTGCTTTTGTTATTTGTACAATTGAGACGTTTCTCTAGTGTCTTCTCTACCCGAGAAAACAATTGACACCATGCTGATTTTGTGGTAAAGTATTATAAATTTGCCTTGTTTCACAGAGAACCTGCAGCTTTGGTGGCTTTGATTTGGCAAATCGCTCACTGCACATTGGAAACAGTTCAGATCAAATTGTGAGTATGACATTCAGTCATAAGATACATTCATACATACAGCCCAATGGTGGTTTTTGTGAGGTGTTTCAAAATTAAAATGCAGTGGGATTTGCTATAAAAGTAGCTATGAGGAGAACATCAGTTTTCAATTACAATACAGTGAGCTGTTTCTTCATACAGTACTTTTAAATTTCATTTCAAAAAAACATCATTTTCCAACAATGACAAATACCTTTATGATTGATTGCCATCAAGTTGGAATTGACTCACAGTGACCACACGGAGAAAATCTGTCCCTGACCTGGTTTATTCAAGTCTTCCAATGATACACTCATCACCATTGTAAATGAATTCATCTACCCTGTTGCTGGTCATCTTTTTTTCCCTCCCCCTTTCCCAGCATTAGAGTTTTTTCCAGAATGATAGTTTTTCCTTAAAATACCTGAAATAGGATGATTTAAACTTGATCGTTTGTGTCTTGAGTGAGTTGATTTATTTGATGACCTATTTGTTTTCCTGGTTGTCCTTGGTGGAATCTCCTCCAACTTCAAAGTTCAACAGTGAAAATACTCTTTCTATTCTGTTTCTTGAAGTTTTACTTCCATAGATTGTCACAGGAAATACCATGATTTGCACTATTTGATCATTGTACGTAAAGCCACATCATGGCATAATAACTGTGGTGTTATGATGCTCTCTGACTACATCAATAATTTGTTGATACTAGAGAAAATTATTAGCACTAAAATGAATGTCCAAAAGTGTATCTCCAAATATGACATGCTTATTAGTCTGCAAACATTAATACCAGACAATGCTCTCTGTAATTCTGAATATTTTGTACTTTGAAATCTTTTAAATTGGGCATGTCCAGCCTGTGGGCTGCATGCAGTCCTGGACAACTGATAATGAAGCCCCACAAGATCATAAACTTTTAACATTATTATGTGCATTTATATGCATTAACTATATTTTATATATGGCCCAAGACCATTTATCTTCACTCAGTGCGGCCCAGGCAAACCAAAAAGTTGGATATTAATGTTTTAAATTATGATTTTTAATTTTTTATATTCAAAAGGAGGATGTGTAGCAGAATGTCATAAAATTATGAGAGTGACAAGGACTGTACTGCTAGAAAGCAGCAGAAGATTACTCAATCTTTGAAATTCCAAAAGGATAAAAATTTAATTCAGAGGAAGCTTGTCATTTTTTTTTTAATTCAGCCTTGTGATCACTCAAAAAATCTTCTTTTTTTGAAGGTTCTCGTTTGCTAGATATTATTTTCTGCATATGATAATTATAACATGAGGACAAGTGAAATGGGGTGATTCCTAGGCAATTAGAAAGCAGTAGTATTTATTCCACAAGAAAATAAGATAGCTAACTGTTCCAACCATATTTGCCATGGTTTTATTGGCCAATCAAAGAGTGAAAATCCTCCTCTCCATTAAGTTATTCTATTCACTGAATAAAGTATACCAAAATAAGCTGATTAAAACTAAACGGGAGTGAAAAGCTTGGGAAAGGTGTAGTGTCTAATGCATAGTAGTCCACTTTTCACATTCTATTTATTCTACTCTTGTTTTCTCACTAATCACTCTGAAGGGGATCTGTATCCATTTGGACAGCTCTCAGGTTAATCCTGGATTCAATGAACATAGTAGGCTGTAGCTCAAATGTGAGGGAAAGTCACCTTCCAATATCTCAGCATATATATAGTTCTTCTTCCCACATTCCAGCTGCAAACAAAGTTCGGAAAGGCAGGAATGAAAGATAAAGAAAATGTGAGGACATAAAGAACATAGCTCCATCCTGTATACAATTTTTGCCCTGCTTATGTTATCAGTGGTGGGATTCAAAAATTTTTACTACCGGTTCTTTGGGCGTGGCTTGGTGGGCATGGCAGGGGAAGGGCACTGTAAAATCTCCATTCAGAGGTGGTCTTTGCCGGTTCTCCAAACTACTCAAAATTTCCACTTCCGGTTCTCCAGAACTGGTCAGAACCTGCTGAATACCACCTCTGGTTCATTTAACATATCCTTGGGAAGGATATCACATTGAGAAAATGTTCGATGGTGAATTGAGTTGTTTCCAAGTTGTTTAGATCATGGGTCTCTAACCTTGTCCACTTTAATCCTGGAGGACTTCAACTCCCAGAATTCCCCAGCCAGCAAAGCAAAGCAAAGCAAAGCAAAGCAAAGTAAAGCAAAGCAAAGCAAAGCTAGCCAGCTCCCAGGGGAATTCTGGGAGTTGAAGTCCTCCAGGCTTAAAGTGGCCAAGGTTGGAGACCTCTGGTTTAGATAATAGATATAAGACTGAGCCAAGAATTCTGTTCGAGTACTTCCAATTTAAAATGTAGGGTTGTGTTTTATTGCCCTGAATTGTTTTATATATCGCCCTTTTCCTTAGGGTTGCTAATCTGACTGTAGGGATAGTACTGGAAGTGGGACTAAGCAGCTAAGCTCATCATGTTTAGTCCTTGAAGGATTACGCATGTCACTGGTCCTGTGTGATGAACAAGAATAGAGAAATTAAACTTTTCCTGGCTGTTGCCAGTTTCATTTTATTGAGTGTATATCAATTTCAATCCAAAAGCAATTGCAATTCACACATAAAAATCAAAGCAGCTTTTTAAAATTCATAGCCATTAATTTGTGTTGCAGAAATGATAAATGCTCAACCAACAAACGAGAAACTTGCCTTTCAAGAGCATTATTTGCATTTCTTGTAGACTGCCATAAGAGGAAGTTATGTCTAAAAACCTTTCTTTTTGATTTTCTGCCAATGAATTGCTTATTCAAATGAACTGTGGATTGGAGAATGGACAGGGTTTAGACAGATGGGAAGAGCAGGAAAGAACAAAGAAAGGAATGTTATTCATATAGTGTGTGTGTGTGTTCTCTCTGCTATGTGACAAACAAATTCACCTGGAAGAGTGCAAGGAAGAATGTAGATCAAGAAAAAGAAAGTTGTGGGAAGCAGTGCTTTTCTGAACTGATTTAGGAATTCTCTGGGTGCCTTGAATTAAAAAGGGAGAGTGGGCAGTTGATCTCATCCTCTTGTCTCTAAGTATTGCCGCCTTTTGTGCTGAATGGCAACTCATCCATGGGGCTTTGTGTTGTTCACAGAATCATATTTTGAGAAATGGTTACTGATGTATAATTTCGCTCTGAAACGTTAATACAGTATTCCTTTAACACTAGGCGAGTCTTTCGCTTGAATGACTGTGATGTTCTTTTGCTTGTTTTTTTGGGACTAAGTCCCTTTCATTTTTTTCCCCCCTGCCTTTGTGTATCTAGATTGGGTTTTTTCCTGCTCCGGGAGCCAATTTTGTGGTTTTGTTGAGTGTTTGGGGATTTAGTAGGGCAGGCAAGGGAGGATTGAAATTAATCTGTGATTCCGTTACTAAAACACATCCTCCTCCTGTCCAAGTGAATCCAAACTATCGAGTTCCTGAATTGCCACAGAGTGATGTCTGTATAGATGGGAAAGGGAAATGTCTCTGAAAACATCTGGGCTGAATCCCTGGCCAGATGGAAAGTCTCTGGAGAATGGGGATGAGGCACAGCTGCAGGAGGATGGATGGCTAGAACACACGCATACGAAGAAAGACTTAGCAGTTAAGCGGGGTCTTGCCAGAATTTGGAGCTCCCCTGTCCACTACTTAAACAAAACAAAGGCCTTCTATTAATCCTTGTTTTTAACTTTCATCTCTCTAGTTAGGAATCTTTCTTTTTCCATCCATCCTGGAACGTAAAGCCATTTCATGAAACTGTTCTGCATTGGGTTCCAGAAGTGCCAAGTGAAGCATTTCTTCAGACAGCTCATCAATTTTTCTGGAAATCCCTATCAATAAGGCCAGTGATATGAATGGCAAATTCACCCAAAATATGTTTCAGGGCAATAGGCCTTTCCATTTTCAAGCCATGTAAACTTCCAAAGGCATCTGACTTCTGACAATATGGGACTGTATCTTGGTGCAATTGTACCAATTAGTCTGGTGCAGTTTGCAACTGCTTTAATCATTAATCTAAAATATTTCTGGTTGTCTTTCATCCTAATTGTTCCCAACTTTCTTGAGCATTCTTCTTTTCACTTGTTGCTTTTAAAGGTCATGTAATCTTAACTAGATGTTCTTTTTCTCTATTCAGAACACATAACTTGACTTGGTGGGGATGTAATCACAAAGTAACTCAGAAAGAGAGATTATCTTATCCCAAGGCCAATATTATACTTCCCCTGCTGCCTTTGATGCTGCACTTGAGCATCATTGACTAGATTAACATGGCCTTCAGATGAATATGCGTGCGGTTAGCCATGTGTACTTAAATCTACATAGAATTTAGGCAGGCAGAACACAAATAACCTTATAAACAAGCATTCATCTCAGTCAAAAACCAAAAGTATTCTGAAAATTGATCTTAATGTGCAAGTATCCATATATACAGGATGTGAGCTGCATTTCAAACAGCTTTTCATAACTTCCAAAATATTTAAAAAGGACAAGAAAAAAGAAAGTTAGCTGAAGAACAATATATATTGAGCAATACTGGTATAAATGAGTTTCATACAAGAAGATTATGAGTGGGGTAGAACTGTAATGTTTCTCTCCAGGAGTTGGCAGAGACATACCTAATGGAAAACAATTGGATTATGGCACTTGTGTTATTAAATGAAAATGCATGCATGCAGGAATTATGTTGTTTAGCATTCTGCCTATGAGTATAGCATTAAAATCAATATAAATGGCTAAGCTGAATATATTGGCTGTGTGGTAACATTTGTCCCACTTTGTATGTATAATGGGTTATTCTGGCTCAATGCCCATCAGGATTGTTATACTACAAGGTGATGAAAAATGACTCACAATGACATTTTAAGTCACTTTTAAGTGATGGCTTAAGAACTGGAAGACAAGCATCATAGGGTAGTCAACATGTAATAACTAACTGCCCTCTCTTCCATTATTTATCCCCCTGAGAATTTCAAGGAAAACATTGCAAATATTGTCAAAGGGGAAGCACAGATTCCCAGGAAAAAGTGGTCTGGTTAGAAGAAGAATATATAACCCTCTCCTATTGCATCCACTCAGCCCACCAGGATGGGAAGGCAGAGCATGTTATGAGTTCCATCGATTAGAAATGTCCATCTGATGGGACCATGAAGAAGGGCCTTCTTGGTGATAGTCCCTTCTTTATGGAACATCATTCCCCGTGAGCTCCAGTTGGCTCCCACCCTGTTCCTGTTCTGAAAGACCCTAAAAATGTGATTTTGTCAGCAGACCTAGGGACCACAAATGGAAGTGGAGGTGCTCAAGTGACTGATTTGATTGTATTGTTGCTGCCATGGAGATGGGGAGGGGTTGTCTCTGTGGGAGGTGTTTTTTTAATGGGTGTTTATTATGTGGTGGGTTTTTTTAAAATGTTGTAAGCCACCTGGAGTGACCTATCTGTGAGTTGGGCAGTTATATAACTATTGTTTAATAAATAAGTAAATAAATAACATGTTTTGGGAATTTGCGATTTGAACAATCTTTGTGAGGTACGCTGAGTCTAAAGATGGCCACAGAAGGATAAAAGATGAGAAGCTGCTCTTTGTTTCAACTTCCCTTTCTTTTGACAGGGAAAGGATGGTGATTTTGTCTACAAAGAGGTGATCAAATCCCCTTCGACTTCCCGTATATCCCTTGGTAAGAAGGTGAAATCTGTAAAAGAAACCATGAAGAAAAGAATGTCTAAAAAATACAGCAGCAGCAACTTGTCAGAGCAGGTATGCCAGTTTGTTTGTTCTTGTTTGCTTGAAATTAAATCACTTCTGGAGCCTCTTTTGAGACCTCATGAAAAGGTACAACAGCATTTACTTGAGAAGCTCCCCGGGGTATCATGTACTAAACCAATTCCGAGGTCTTTCAGAACTAGTTACTGTGAAAAGAGCCTCAATAAAATCATAAAAGGAAGGTAAGATTGAATTAAGCCAGTAAAATTTACAATTTCATTGGATATGTGGTGGTAGTTCCCATGTTATAAAGAATGACTGAGTTTATACAGTATATACCCTGAGCAAGTGTCCAACATTGTTAAAACGCAAGCAACATCCAAATCAAGGGTCTCTAACCTTTTTGAGCTAGTGGGAACGCTTGGATGCTTCAAAGAAGGGGAAGGAGGGGGCATTTTCCCCAAATGGTTCCTAAGAGGATTCTGGTCAGTCTCAAAGCACCTATTTAACAGAAGCCAAACCCAGCATTGGACTGCACATTATTTTATAAATCCTTTGGAGATCTAACTTCAGTTTGTGCTTTCCTCTATAGCATGTTAGTTCCCATTGATTTTTTCCCCCTAATAAAAGATATAAACATGGATTACATGGGGCAAAGAACTTACCAGTGCCAAGAAGTATGGCTGAGGAACATAAGGGCTCACTTGGAGCTGCAGGATCCTGCAGCTTTGACATCTGTGCAATATGAAGGCTTTACCATGAGGTTATCTGAATAGCCTATATAGTGGGTCAAAAAAATAAGTCAGCAATTTATTAAATGAACATAGTGTGCTGAATGAAAAAAAACCCCACATTTTTCCTTTACAATACACTTAATTCTCTTATTACCGAGATCTATGATGATCGCTAAGTCTTTTAAAACTCCTCTTTTCAATTTTCCCTGGCTGAAATCAATTCATTTTTCCAAGCTTGTTGCTTTTGGCAAATTTCATTCAATTTAGTTTGGGAGGCTGTCAAAACAGCCAACACTTTTTATTGTTATTTTTTTCATCAGTCTTTCCACTTCAACTTCAGTATAAACATAACAAGTCATTGGCATCCGCTGAGGAAACAGCTGATTAATATTGACGAAATATCGCCCTCTAGAGGTCTATCAAGTAATCCAGTTGCTATAGTTGGTCATTATATTTTGCATTCAGGAGTAGAAGAATGCTGATCTTTGATAGCCAAAGCACTCTTAAACATGTTCGTTTTCTCTGAGATACCTTTATATTGCCAAGATAAATTCAGTCCCTCACTCTTATCTGTAATTGCATGGGACAGATTTCAAGGCAGAAAGGCTCCGTGGAGGTACAATAGCCTTTCACTGGGAATTTGGATCTGCTAGTTGCAAACAAACAAATCAATAGTTTGTGACTCCATGCAGAAACAAGGCAGTCCTCATATCCAACCTGAAGTCCTTTGTTTACAGCAGACCATCACAGGTATATCAGACCTCCAGCAGAAAACAAAGCCATTTGTTGTCATGTGGGCTGTGGCAGCACAAATGGCCTGGCTGGATTCTGACGTTGGCTACTGTCCCGATGTAGTGAAATATTTGCAAATAAATATTTCTTCTGTGATAGAAGAGCTTGATTCTTGCCCATGTTGTTAATTTTAGTCAAAGAAAAGCAAATGTGACAATCCCAAGTATTATGCAGGTAGTACTTGACTTAGGACCACAATTGATCCCAAAATTTCTGTTGCTAGGCAAGACAGTTGTTAAATGAGTTTTGCCTCATTTTATCACCTTTGCCACAGTGGATAAGTGAATCACTGCAGTTGTTAAGTTAGTAACACAATTGTTAAATGAATCTGGCTTCCCCATTGACTTTGCTTGTCAGATCACACAAGTTGATCACATAACTCAAGGACAGTGCAACCATCATGAATACACCCAGTTGCCAAGCATCTGAATTTTGATCAAATGACCATGGGAATGCTGCAAAGGTCATCAGTTTGAAAGACAGCCAAAAATCACTTTTTTCAGTGATGTTGTAACTTTGAACAGTCATTAAATGAACTTGTAAGTTGAGGACCTGTATACAGCTTTATAATAATCAGAATGGAGTGTGATTTCTAACAGCGTATTTATGTTATCCATTTTTTAAAATTTCTGAACCTCAGCCTTTCAGAGAAAGTAAACAATTCTCTGCATCTTTTAAAAAGCAGAACCTATTATAAAAATGCATTTAGCTATGTGCACATACCAAAATAGATGACCTTGTTCTATATCAAAAGTTAGTCTGAAAAATGGAATGCTTTAAAATGTTATGTTGGTTTTATTTTTAAGCGTAAGAACATGGCCCAAAGTGTTGCAATTAGGAAGAATGATCTGCTCCAGGACTATTATACCAACTGTTCATAATGGTAAATTGTCAGACAGATAGTTTGAGATGAGGATGTTTGTTACATTTAAAAACTCCCCTCAAGACTATACAGTAAGAAAAATGACAATGTTTCTAGAGTGTTATTTGGCTGGCAACATGGGTTTTTAATCTGCTCCTTTCCAAGCCTCCCAAATCTGCAGAAAGTTCGCCTCCAGAAGCAACTTTCACAGGGGCGTGCAGAGATCATGAGTAGCCATAGGAAGGAGACATTCTATCAAAAGAGAAATTCATACATATATTGGTTATAGCCTATAACCGTGATGGCAAACCTATAGCACGCATGCCGGAAGTGGCACACAGAGCCATCTCTGTGGGCATGCAAGACATTGCCCCAGCTCAGTTCCACTGCACACGTGCCTCTTGCCAGCCAGCTGATTTTCAGGTATCTGCCGCACATGCGGGAGATGCGTGCGCATGCACAGGGGGGACGTGGGGAGCATGGGGGGACGCGTGCATTGCATTATCAGTGCAGGCACATGACTTTCAGCACGCAACAGCAAAAAGGTTAGCCATTACTGGCCTAAAATATACATAGAAAACAACAAATTCCCTGTTCCTCCCCAGAGCTTTGGCTTTGTAGATGATCTTATAATTTCAGAATTGGGAAAGAAGCAATACTAAACAACACTGGTTTTATGGCTCAGTCCAACGATTTGACTTCTGCAGGGTTCCAATGACCAAAACTTCTCTAGTAAGAATGTACGGATAGATCTGTCAAATTAATGGCAGCTAAATTATCTAAAATATAAGAAAAATAGACCTCGGGAAAAACAGAAGTCGCTTTCTAACTAAAGGTTTGTGGCTTTGGTTTTCCCTGGAGAGTTGCTTGATTTGTGGGAAGATATTTCCTGATGACTCTGCAATACACAAATAATAGGCTTCATCAGATGGTCTGTGATTGCACGTCAGTGGAATAGCCAGCAATTTTTGATATCAGCAGGTTTCTTCAATTCTTTGTGGTGGGTATTCTAGAAGAGTCTATAACATTATTTTTAACACTTTCTGTCGAAGAAGTGCTTTTTAAAATGCCCACACGCCCCCATATCCACACACTAAGAAGTCTTCTAAGTGCAGATTGGTTCAGAAATTACTGTTCGCATCCTTTTGGGTCTGTTTTGATATCTAAATGAATAAATGAAGATGAAAATGCACATTATTTTTCAGGTAAAGGGTTTTTGATCGGTTTACCATTTTCAAAACCAAATTGCAGTTCTAGACTAGTAGATTCATTCATTCCATCACAATAACACTTTTGGTTATTTACTCCAAATAATAATACTTTCGTTACTTCATCAACCATTCCATTAACATTGTTTTAACCATTGTTAGCAAATGTTACATGAAATACCTGATTCCAGGGTTTATAAGGCAGGACAATTGTAGAAAACATAATGCAACTGCATAACAAAAGAAATGGATACTAGATTCAGATGAGTTTAATTAATGGCATGGTTTGATTAGGAATAAGTTAAAAATTGATGTATAAAATACATGAAATGAAATATTTTCCAAAAGGAATTGAAAATAGTCTTGGACTAGCAAACCCTTCAGATTTGAAAGAAAAATCTAGATTAAATCCTAGATCTCTCTCTATTTTAAAACAATAGATTAGACAACACACATTAGAAATATGGGAATCTCAAGTGTAAAATAGAACACAATTATGAATTGTTCAAATGTGCTGAATACAATGACCTGTTAGATTCACTTATCACAAGATAACTTTGTCTAGATATGCAAAACCTGTATGCAAATGAGGAAGAGGTTTCCTTCACTTATAGGAAAATACCTGGGTTTTTAGGTTTTCTTTGGACACCACTTTCTGTGTGACCCTTATCCTGATCTTCTCATGGTTCGGGAATACTGCTTTCTGGTCATTTACTGTTTCTTTTTAGCTTACAAGGGGTAAAAAAGAGAAACGATAGATAATTGCTGCTTTTTGTATCATAGTTGACGTCAGATCCATAGCAATGAATTCTTCTATGGTACTGCAGAATTTTAAACCACACAAACCAATAGTTCCCTATTTGAGTACATGAGAAATTTAATATCAATGGTGAGGTTTTTGTCTTTCAGGAACCCAATCTGGATGTAAGGCCAGAGTCTCTTCAGGCACCACAGCCAGATACCGATACTTTGGATAAACCAAAGTTAAAAGCTGGTGGTTCAGTAGAAAGTTTGCGGAGTTCCCTCAGTGGCCAAAGTTCAATGAGTAAGTAATGAATGTAAAGTCAGCCATGCTCAGTTTAGATGTAAAAATCTCAACCTAAGGAAACATGGCCTAGACCAGATGCTAATACTTTGTTCATGTTATCTACCTTCATCCATTCTTCTTTGCCCCTTGCTTACCTGCATCTATTGTGGGGGTTAATTATTTCAAGGTTTTTTGGAAGTGGTTTGCCATTGCCTCCTTCCTAGGGCTGAGAGAAAGGGGCTGGCTTTCTGTTTAAAGTGGGATTAGAACTCACTGTCTCTCATATTCTAGCTGATGCCTTAACCACTGCACCAAATTGACACTCTCTTAATCGTCTTAGGTAGCGAGAAAAGATCTTTTTTGCAAGCGGAATCTGAACCTTCAAATCTGAATCTTGAGTCAAGCATCATAGATTGTAGGGATTATTATCAGAAGGGGGTTTTTAATCTGTTTTTGTGGCTCTTCATTTAGGGTTCATTTAGGGTTCAATCAGTGGTGGGATTCAATTTTTTTTTTACTACCGGTTCTGTGGGCGTGGCTTGGTGGGCATGGCAGGGGAAGGATACTGTAAAATCTCCAGTCAGAGGTGGTATTTGCCGGTTCTCCAAACTACTCAAAATTTCCACTACCAGTTCTCCAGAATTGGTTAGAACCTCTGGGTTCAATTGAAGACTAGGGTCTGCATTTAAGATTTGGGGAGAAGCAGGAGTTGTGCTAAAGCAAGATCAGCCACACCAGATAGATTTGTAAACCACCCACAGTCACTTAGGTGAGATAGGTGGTGTAGAAATTTGATAAATAAATGAATTTAAATAAATAAATAAATCTCTGGGGAGCTAATCAGATTAGATGGTAAGCATGCCACTAAAGAATCAAGAGGGCTATGGGATCTATTGTATTTGCTGTTCTAATCACACCTAGAATGGTGATGTTAGACTAGCGTCAGAGGAATGTTCCTGACATCTTACGGTTTGCACATGTTGGGATCTGCTTGTTGTCTTTTGCAATCCCTTTGCTTTTGCCTTTTTTCCCCTGCACAAATAGGTGGGCAGACGGTAAGCACAACTGACTCTTCGACTAGCAATAGAGAAAGTGTCAAGTCTGAAGATGGTGATGAGGAAGAACTTGCATACCGAGGGCCTTTCTGCGGTCGTGCCAGGGTTCACACTGACTTTACCCCCAGTCCTTACGATACAGATTCTCTTAAGCTCAAGGTACTTTTCATGAACTAACCAACAAATTTGAATTAAGGGATATTGCTTACAAAGTTACTCAAGGTTTCCTAAATGTTACATAGTTGGACCTGAGAATCTGGTAGAAAGGGCTAGCTATCCAAACCTCCTTGATACACTAGTTTTCTCATTTTTATTAGATTCTAAATACTTTCCTTTTTACAAAGGCTATCATTTTTACAGATATTGATTGATACCTTTAAAGTGATTCTCTAACTTTAAAATAGCTATGGAGCGACTTTGTTGTAATGTAACATTTGTGTATGCATTTTTTTCTTTCTTCAAATGGTTTTATATGGCTGCCCATCTCCCTAATAACTCTGGGTGGCTAATGAAAATTTAAAAATACAGTATAAATACAATATAAAAATGCACATCTAGAGCAACTACAACACAAGGTGGCCACCAACGCTAGCAAACACCAACATTGTAGGTTCAGTTACTCTCTTGGCACCCCTCCCCATGTTCAGGAAAATAGCCAAGTCTTCAATGCTTTCTTAAAGGTGAGCAGTGTCAGGTTTAACCAAGCCTTGGATGGTATGATGTGCCAGAGTAGGTGCAGCTATGGAAAAGCCACACATGCTGGATCCCATTAGATGCAATCCCTGAACATATCCTTCTCACCTGACCTAATGGGACGCATTCAAACAATGAGAGCAAGGCAGTCCCTCAAATACCTGTTCTCATACATTCATATTCTCTCTTCCCCCACTTTTTTCTGGATAATTGATTATACAACTCTTCATTCAGGTTGGAAAAGTCAACCCACGTATTTATTTTTTATAGAAAAGGTCCTGTAAACAGCAGGAACACAAGTGTGGGTCAAAACTTGAGCCAATAGTGGCAGGGGATTTAAGTTCCATTCATACCTTTGACAAAAAAAAATATAATATAAATTGCTCCCACCTAAATACTTCGCCATGAAGACTCACACCAAAGATATATTTTTTTAAAAAAATCTATACAGTTATGTTTTTAAAAAAAAAAAAAACAAACAAACAGAGAAGTATGTTTTATGTTCAGTTAAAATACTGCAGAATTAAGAAGTGGATTGTGAAGTCTATGTAAATAAAAAATAATTGAGCCGTCCTTTTATTTGCTGAGTTTATTTTTTAAAAAAATACAAAGGGTTCCACAAGAGGTTGTACACATAACAGCTATCTAGTTTGATTTAGTAGATCTTTCAAATGCATTATTATTTCTTTTCTCAACTACAGAAGGGTGATATTATTGATATAATTAGCAAGCCTCCCATGGGTACTTGGATGGGACTTCTGAACAATAAAGTTGGTACTTTCAAATTCATCTATGTGGATGTGTTAAATGAAGAGGAAGAAAAGCCTAAAAGGCCCACAAGAAGGCGCCGAAAAGGAAGATTACAACAGCCCAAATCTGTTGAGGATCTCCTTGATCGTATCAATTTAAAGGTCAATTTCCATTTTTTACTCTTCTATTGCTTTTGTTCCTTTTGAACAAATTGTATTGTTGTATACCTGTCACGGAAGTCAACCAACCAAGTCTACATTATACCTATTAAATCAGATTTGCCTTCCTGTAGCAAAGGTTCAAGCTCATCTTCTTTAATTCCTATAGTCTAATCATTAATTTATAGTGTTTTAATCACCCAGATGAAAAAGTATTCCTCTTGCTTTTCAGAGTGCAGAGCTTGTTCTGAAACTTTACTTAAGATTTTACTTGTCAACTCGCAATGAATTCAGCTTAAAGCTCTCCCCCAATAAGCTCAATGTGCTTCAGTCAAATTCCAATCCTTTTTTTACCAAACCTTATGAGGTCCATTTCATGCCAGCAGTTGATTCTCTAGATAATGCAATCATAGCCCTAGAAATTATTTGAATAGCTGGCGATCCATTTCCAGTGTTCTTGTTTTCCTTCTCAGTCCTCATGACCTAACACTGAAATTATTGATTCCAGAAAATTAAGCCTGAAAATCAACTCTTAGATTTTATTTAATCAACACTTTTTAATTTGTTTTGCTTCATGCTTATTCTCAGATGGAGTTGACAAACCTTATTTCTTTTTATCCTTTTCCTACTCTGCTATTAAAGTGAAGTAACTTTTTAAAAGCAAGCTGATTTTAGATGTTTGGATTCTCAATTCCACAGCAGGAATAATGTGCCCAATTTAAGTGGATAATATTGCCTGTGGATAAATCTCTACAGATGTTCTGTGATCACATATTGTGTTTTCTTAGTATATAGTATACTTGTTAATTTATATTGTCAATAATTCCATTTGTTTTCTCTCCTAAATTGCTTGATAAGCTATTTGTCACAGTTTTATTTACAGAATCAGTTATCGATGCATAGTGTTTAATTTACTTTTCTAGAAAGATTTATTATACCTGCTTTGCTTTGGTTTTGTTTAAATTCCGTTTGACATTAAGACTCTGAAAGAGCCAGGAATAAATTAAGCTATTCGATGAATAATTCCGTCTGTTCGGCAAGGATGGATAGATGGACTCAGTCTCAGACTTTTTCTTATAAATTAAGTGTGGCTCCTCCAAACATCATTAAAGTGTAATCACAGCTAAAATTTTGACTGTAAAGAAAGAAAGACAAATCATTAAACAAAACAAAGGTTTACAGGAGAGTGAAAGCAAGAAGAGTTCAGGAGATATTAAAACATTATAGCTATTGAGAAGGCTGCAAGGATCAAATGTCTAAGGAAAGAGATGGTAGGCCTTTTGAAAAGAGAATTCCAACATCAGTGAGACAGTAATCCAACTGTGGAGCAGTGAAGGAAGAACAAACTTTTTGAGAAGCTGTTACCTGTCTCCCCAAAGCCCTCTTACATTTTTTTTTTATTGCCAGTAAAGCTACTTGAATAGAAGAGAGCAATTGCTAACAGCTGGGCTTCTGGCAAGAAAGATGTTTTTTATTACGGCAGCTGTCTAAAATAAATCCATAGTCCCCATTCTGAGCTATAATATGTGCAACTATCTCACTCTAGAGGTATCTCAGCAATCTTGCCCTAACTAAAACACACTCAGGTGGAACATGCCCAGGCTACCATCATTTTTTCTTCTCCTCATTACCATCCTTGAAAGGTAATTCTTCAGAAAAGATAGACTACTCTTCGTATGGAACAAATGTCTCTTTGTTTCGTCTTATAGATTTTATTCAGTCAAAAGTTAAAAGGAGGAGGAAAGGAAAAGATTGTTAATATTTCAAATAAATAGGAGCATATTATACATGATGTTTAAATAAAATATATGTTGCAATTGTTTTTGACCTGACTGGATAGGCTTTCAAGCTTCCATTGATTTTTAATTGAAAATTGGTTTTCAAGATTAGCTCCAGCCATCTCTGCATACAATCTTTGCATGTAACTAAGGCTTGTGTGATGATGTCTGCTTCCAATGAAGGAAGAGTTAATGTAATTGACTGTACAATCAAGTTGATGTCCACTGTTAGCAATCATATACAGCTAGTCCTCAGCCTATGAACAGTCTCTTAGCAACCATTTAAAGTTATGACAGACTCTGGAAAAGCTACTCATGACCCAGATTCAAAGTTCCAATGGCCACCATCCCCAATTTATTTATATATTTTCTCTTTACATACAATAAGTGCTTAGTGAACAGCGTCCTGTCTGGGTCAATTTGCATCTTACATAATAATACTTTTTCAGTTCCTAGTGTCTACCTCTATTATCCAACCATTGATAAAACAAATTCCAAGTTCAAAAATATTTGTGTTTTCTTTCAGTATTAGTCTATCCATTTCTGCACAGTCTAATATTTTTTTTAAATTATATCATCTTCTGTAGGTGTTTCCTTGTTTTTCCAGTATAGTGCGAATACAATCTGGCTGCTGTCAAAATGTGTAATATTAAATCTACATTCCCTCTATCATATTTTTCTGGTATTATGCTTAATAAAAATAGTTCTGGCTTATAAACTATATGCCTTAACATTTTTTCTAACCATGTATGCACTTTCGTCCAAATTTGTTTTGCTTTTGGACACATCCACCACATGTGATAATATGTGCCCGGGTCACGTAAACACATTTTGAGTGCTCAGTAACAGGCCCCCATTTATGGCAACATCCTGTGGTTACATGACCATGATTTACTATGTTTTTGCCTGAAAGCAGCACTTATTTCTGATTTCTAGCAAAAAAAAAAGGGGGGTGAATAAAGGGTTCACTTAACAGCATTCGCTGTATGACTGAGGCATTCACTTTATGACCACAAAAAAATAGTAAAATCAGGTGCAGTTACATGTGCCCTGCTTATTAACATTCACGAATTATTAGTGTAATTGCAGGTTCTAAGTTGAGAACTATCTTTAGATAGATTTTCACAACAAGAATTCATCTCCATCTTGGTCCTTCAGGTCTTCCAATAGTGTACACATTACCACTGTAACTGAGTCCATTTATCATACTGCTGGATGTCCTCTTCTTCTTTCCTACCACCTTTCCTAAATTTTTCTGAGAACCAGATGTTTGCCTAATACATCTGAAATATGATAATCTGAATCTCAGGGTCAGATTTATTCAATGATCCATTGGCTTGTTTCCTTAGCTATCACTGGTTTTCTAAGGTTTCTTTTCCAATATCAAAGTTAAAAGATGTCCATCCTGATTGTTTTGAAGAAAATGTCAGTTTGTTTGCACTATTCTGGTCTTTGTAGGAATAGACACATCCCAGCAATTGATTTTTTTCCCTCAAGGCCTTCATTGCTACTCTATGAAATATAACCTGAGATCTTTCTTGACTGCTGGTCTTTCAACTGTTGTTAGTTGGTCTTAAAAGCTATCCGCGACTTCAATATTTTTATTGTCAGTTCTTAGGCTGGTTGCTGTACCAGTTGCCATTAGCTTCGTCTTTATTGTTAATCTTAGTTCCACTTTCTCACTCTTCTCCTTGATTTTCACTACTAGATTATATTTGCATTTTCAGCTATCATAGTGTCATCAGTATAGCACATTACTGATGGGAGGTTTTTTTCTATCTTGAATGAAGAACTCAAGGAGTTAACGGATTAACTTCTTAGTCACTTCACCCCATGTGTATTGTTTCATCTGATGAACTACCTGCCAATGTGGCACATCAGTGAGGAAAATTTCACATTGGCACTGAAGTGTGTGACAGCTGTGTTGCAGAGGAATTTTTATAGGGAATACAGAATATAAAATCCACTGCAGTCAAAAGGAAGAGGAACTCTGTTCTGGTTGAGAGAGAGAACTAAAGGAAAGACCATTATCTATACTACTGCATATTGTTTTTAAAGCATCTAAAATGGGATGACTCAAAATGTTCCTTGTATACTTACAAATCAGTTATAATATAGCAGTCGGCATTCATCAATTAGAAACAAACAAAATTTAACTCTTGTGAAATATACAGCATTGAAAGTAGCATCTCTCTTTGACACAGGAGCACATGCCAACCTTTCTGTTCAATGGCTATGAAGACTTAGACACCTTCAAGCTCCTGGAGGAGGAAGATTTGGATGAACTCAACATTCGAGATCCAGAGCACCGAGCTGTTCTCTTGACAGCAGTGGAGCTTCTGCAGGAATATGACAGTGAGATAGATCTTCTTTTCCAGCGCACAGCTAAGGATCTGTTACCTACTTGGGACTTTGGAGATTCTGTGAACCTCAAAGGTCTTGAAAATCATGGCTTGCAGGGACCTAGAGAGAATGTAGAATAATCATAAATGGTTTGCAAGAAATAAATGTCACTGTGCATTGGGAAATTTCCATAAAATGTAAGGTGGCTCATAACTAGAGAACCTGCCAAGGCAGGGCTTGTAAATATCGCCCAAAAAGAAGCCCACAGAGATACTTCTCTGACCTAAATATATTCTCGGCTGGAAAAGAATTCCCAGTTGTCCCCATTAGCACCTGAAAATATGCTGTCCTTAGTTTTTCTATTTAATTTGCATTGATATAGTTATGTAGCAGCAGCATGAGCAGAAGCACCTTGTCCATAGGAAGCACGGAGAGGGATGATTATTTCTCCAGCCTCCTAAATGCTTTGCTTCAGGGTGGAAAGACTGAGGAATTATCTGAAGATTTTTTTTGAAGACCTTGAAGGTTAAATTTCCAAACATGCCCAGCAGTGGCTGTACTACTAAAACTCCTTAAAGATAACAGCCAACGTTTCTTAAGTCTTCTCCCTTCTTTCTCACTGGCTTCCCAAGCATTTTTTAAGCAAGTTGTTTTATAGGTTGCTTGATATAAAAGAGATCGTTTTCAATTAATGTAAACACCACTTTCTTAGTTTTGCCGTTACTGTTCTTTACTCAAGGTAACAGTGACCAGTCGGGCTCCCAGGAGAAGCTCCTTGTAGATGGCCAAGACCTCAGTGGATGTTCTCCCCGGGATTCAGGCTGCTACGAAAGCAGTGAAAACCTGGAGAACGGTAATCCCAGCTGTGCTCATTTGAATTACATGCCTAATTCATTAACTTCTCAAAGAACGCCAGATTCTTTTTTCCAGGAACAGCACTATAGAATTTCTTTTAGTGGTGACTTGGGCACTGCTTTCATTGTCTAACAAAACAATGGTTGCAGACCTAATTAGTGGAGACACACTAATGCTGGGTCTTGTGCGCTTTCCCAAGGTTCTCTGAACAGACAGTTTTCCTGCGGTGTGTCTATAGAGCACTCATGTTTGCAGCTTTGTTTTTGATAGTTGCTTTTTTTTTTTTAATATTCATGGAGTATAAAGGACTCCACCCCTTCCCTGCAGGCAAGCTGTGTTGAATGAAGTTGCTCCACTAGTACCGAAGCATAATGAGGAAGTGCTTCAGATCAAGATTTAACTCATTTGCTTACAATAGATGGAGGAAATTATTTGGAGCCTTGGGTGGGGGTTGGGGGCTGGGGGAAGAGAGACTGTTTTCTAGCAAATGGTTTCTTTACTTGGTATGCACGTGGCGTCCTTCTTGGCTCAAAGGGTTGTGTTGCTGAGCTCCTACTGGAGCCTTTTATGTAAACTGCAGCATGTCAAGTGGAATGAAGCACTGACAGCCTGCAAAGTGAGAAGCACCTGCTGTGCACTATCCCAGTGATCACAGCTTCTTCCAGACTTTGTAAACGGAATGCATCTCTTTCTGAAGAACAGGCTTCAGCACAAGAAGTGGATGGCATGATATATAGGAGATGCAAATATTCTAGTTTTACCTAAAATGCATGTTGGTGCATCATATTTGCCAGGGATCTGTTTGAATCAGGATATTTATTTTATTTGTATTTATTTATTTTGTCACGCGATTATAAGATAACAGGTATAAGTATAAACATAGTTATGAATACATGAAATGGATACATATAAGAAAAATAAAAAAAGAAACAATAGGACAGGGACGGTAGACACGTTGGTGCGCTTATGCACGCCCCCTACAGGCCTCTTAGGAAAGGGGTGAGGTCAATAGTAGACAGTCTAAGGTTAAAGTTTTTGGGGTTTGGGGAAGAAACCACAGAGTCAGGTAGAGTATTCCAGACATTGACCACTCTGTTGCTGAAGTCGTATTTCCTGCAATCAAGTTTGGTCAATTAACCTTGAGTTTGTAACTATTGTGTGCTCTTGTATTGTTATGGTTGAAACTGAAGTATCCATGGACAGGTAGGACACTGCAATATATAATTTTATATACTATACTTAGATCAGACCGAAAGCGGCGTAGTTCTAGGTTTTCTAGGTCTAGAATTTCAAGTCTGGTGGCATAAGGTATTCTGCAAGAAGTAGGAGTGGAGAACTCTTGTGAAATATTCCTGGACTTTCTCAACTGTGCTAATATCAGATACGTAATGTGGGTTCCAGACTGATGAGCTGTATTCGAGTATTGGTGTAGCAAATGTTTTGTATGCTCTAGTTAGTAGTGTGATATTACCAGAGAAAAAGCTACGTAAGATTAGGTTAACAACTCTTAATGCCTTTTTGGCTATGTAGTTGCAGTGAGCTCTAGTACTTAGATCATTAGAGATGAGTACTCCAAGGTCCTTCACAGAGTTTGGATCATCAACAAGGTCTTGACTATTCAGCCTGTATTTTATTTTCTGATATATAGATAATACATAGAAAGATAATACATAGAAAGTGTTAATAGGGCTTACCATTTAAGATTACAAAGGACATTTCAGTGATGTGTTTTGGGCTATTTTTGCCATTTCCTCCTTTTCTACAGTCCAGGTGAATACATTTATTGCATCTGCTCATGTAGCTTTAGAATGGTTGAGCAGAAGCTGTATCAAGTGCAGGAGTCTTGTTTCACTTGCCTGTGCCTCCAGATCTCTATCTCTAAGGAACTTCCAGCTGAGGAATCAAAAATTCTCTCCTGAGAAAATCACTTCTGTTGGGATATGTCAAATGAACTGGGGAAAGAAAGGATTAAACTGCCCCTTTTCATATAAGGTTGTTCTGATTGTTATTTAAAACATAAAACGTACGACAAACTTCATCTGTACAGGTCACATATACCTCAGAATTGTGTTTCTCTATAGATAGATAGATAGATAGATAGATAGATAGATAGATAGATAGATAGATAATAAAGGTATCCCAGGACGCAAGGAGGAAGCAGATGCTGATTTCTTTCAAATATCTGTTTCTTTTCTAAACTTTATCTCCTTTTGTTTCAGCTAAAATACGACAGCCTTGTCTCCTGCCCTCAAAATTAGCCAGTGAATATCATTTTAAGGATTTCCACCGAAACCCACTGGCGAATTTTCCAAATCTACCCTTAATTAAATCAACAGAAGCTTATCAGCAAGAAAAGAAAATCCAGGTCAGCTGTGTGCATCCAGTCTCCAAAAACCGTCTCAAGCTGCCAGCAGCTATGGATCTCAAGAAGAAAGGTAGAAGTTTGCCAGTTGGTGTGTGCCGAAGCTGGGAAGTTTTAGAAAGAGCCCCAAATATACCGATGTGGCCAAGATCCCATTCTCTCGGAGACCTTCATGGAAATGTTGGCACTGGTAGTATAAAATCAGCGGAGACATCACCTCTGGATTCATCAAAAAAGTCAGCTGAATCTGAAGGTGGTGGGCAGATGAAAAAACTGTTGATGGCTAAGCAAAGCAAAGAAGTTGTTGATCCCCTTAAGGGGAAGAGAAAGGAATTCCACTTGTCAGCAACCATGCCTTCTACAAGAATGTTCCCTCAGCATTTGCCTGAGAACTGTGATGCTCGGACATCTTCCCTGTCATATGGTATGACCTGGACTCCTTTTGAAAGTTGTAAAAAAAGCACCCATGATCTTGGAAGAGCTAATACTTCTATCTCCAAAGAAAATGTGGAAACTGATCAGAAGGACATGAGTGAAGCAAAAATGCAACCCAAAGCGTCTTCACAGCCACCGCCAGTCCCTGCAAAAAAAAACAGAGAACGCATTTCTAATGGACACTGTCATCTCCCCTCAACTCTTTCTTGTTCAGATGTACCATCTTTGCCAGCAAAAAAAGTTACACTACAGGGTTCCTCCAGTTCCCATGAACTGACTGCATGCAGAACATTTCCTGATCAGGAACCCAAAGGTCCTTCCATCATAAGGCCTCCTTGGTTGTCTGACCTTCCAGAAGCAGCTAGTGTCCAGCAACATGTGTTAAAACTAGACCCTTCTTCAGTAAGGAAGATATCCTGTAATAGAGGACTGGATCTTGAAATGTTGATAGAAAATAAGCTGCAGTCTGAAGATATTGATCTTACAGAGGAGCCCTATTCTGATAAGGTGCCAGAAAATTAATTTTTTTCTAATGTTAATTCTTTGCAATACTTTTTTAATTCTTTTCACCTTTAGAATGTCTTGTATCATACCCCAATTGCATTCATGTATTTTAGTAATCATAAGTAGTTATACTCTGCTCCAGTAGTGAGTATAGTAAGCCATTGGCAGAGATATATACTATACTAAACAATTTTCACTGTTCTGCTAAAAGGTTTTCATTTTGAACATTAGTAATTATCAACGTGGGAACTACTGTACATCAAAAATGTAACTGAAGTTGCAAATCCTAATATAGTTGCAAATCCTGATATAGTTTCCATGTAGTGAATATCATCTGTATGGCAGCACAAAATGGCCTACCAATAAAGGCCACTATCTATACTGCCAATGAGTATATAAATTTAGCTTTTATAAAAGCAACAGATCGTATTCCCTTGTATAGTGCTTGGAACAGACTCAATGAAGCAAAGTTAGGGACATCTCCTTTTTTGGTGTCTTCAAATCAGCTTACTACCAGGACAAGTCCCTGCTGTTTTCTTGGCAAAATTGCGTAAGTTTTCTGCCCTTGCCTGCTTCATAAGGCTGAAAGAGGATGATTGTCTCAAGGTCACCCAGCTGGCTCAGTGCCTATGGTGGGACTAGAACTCTCAGTCCCCCAGTTTATAGTTTGATGCCTTAACTACTACACAAACTGGCTTTCCAGGAACATCTTAGATCTATCAATCTTAATGATAAAGTTAAGTGCATACTGAAGTCTTCTTTTTTAAAGTCTGCTTGTTTTGATTTTGTTTGTTGAGCCCCTTTACACCAATGTTCTCAAGACCAGCCTCCCTCAATATTATGCCATTCAAATGTTTTGAATTTAACACTCATAACACCAGTCTGCATAGAAATTATGAGTAATACACTTAGAGAGCGATGGATTAGGGCAATGATTTTTAAGACTTCTTAAGGAATATCCTAAAGGTGGTTTTCAAATAGCATCTGTATTTTCTTGATTTTTCCTTGAAAATGTTTTGCTTTATATTCAAGAAGCTTCTTCAGTTCTGAAAAATCAAGAAAGTTCAACTGCCTTGAAAAGGATCATTGGGATAACCACAACCTGGATGATGGAGAATCTCCACAAACATTCTTAAGAAATAGATTTACTACCTGGTAATTTACATAAAACCCTTGTACAATTACTGAAAAAAATATCAAATCATAAATATAGATGTGCAAATATATGGAAAAGATAGTTGCCAAGTTAAACTTCTTATAATTCCTTAAGGAACCATTACTTAATATCAGAAGGAACTCTTAAATAGAATTTTGCTTAATTCATTATAACTTGAATTTTCATCTGGATCTCTGCAGCATGGCCGTTGTGGGATTCCTGAACCTTTGGTGCAAAGATATGCTGAAGACTTAGATCAGCCTGAAAAGGATGTTGCTACAAACCTGGACCAAGTACGAGTGAAGCAGCTGAGAAAGCAGCACCGCATGGCAGTAAGTCAGCATTAAATCCCCTGTACCAGGTTCAAGGGCCTGTGATAAAAGCAGAGAAAAATGATGTTCTGCCACTTTGAATTGCAGATTGGGAAAACCTTGAAAAGGTTGAATATTAAAAGATGCAGCTTATCTTTTCATTTAAAAAAAAAAAACTGGTCGCATATAAAATTAGCCTCTTTTGGTTTTTTGGCAGTGGCGACAACCTTCAGCCTCTGAAGTACTAGTAAAGGCCTGAGAGAAAGTTACTGGCAGCTATCTCATTTTCCTTAATAGATGGTGGAATCTTTGCTTATATGCTACCTATCGGTCTCCTTGACCAGCACTGTGTAAGCAGCACAGAAATTGTTCCCAATGTATCATTGGCATCCTTGCCTTGAAAGATTTTTTGATGTTTTCTCTTATTTAACTTTTGCTGCTTCCACACGAATTGTTAGAAGCTGATGGCAAGAAGCAGTTAACTATTTAGTGTGAAATTCCAGGTGACCCTTTACTAAGAGCCATGGTAGCGCAGTGGTTAGAATTGCAGGCTAATTCTGCTGAGTGCCAGCAGTTTGATGCACACTGACTCAAGGTTGACTCAGCCTTCCATCCTTCCAAGATTGGTAAAATGAGGACCCAGATTGTTAGGGGCAATGTGTCGAGTTTGTAAACCGCTTAGAGAGGGCTGCAAAGCACTATGAAATGGTATGTAAGTCTAAATACTATTGCTACTCTAAGTGTACAAGAGTTTGGATGTGTTATTTAGTTTAACATTTGATAGGTAGGTAGGTAAGTAGGTAGGTAGGTGGATAGATAGATAGATAGATAGATAGATAGATAGATAGATAGATAGATAGATAGATAGATAGATAGAATTCTTTATTGGACAAGTATGATTAGACACATAAGGAATTACTGAGGTCACTAACAAAGAACTCAGAAAAAAATATTCAAAGAATAATTAATTTAGTGCTCTCACTATACGATTTCCCCACAGGGAAAACTGACATATGTTCTCACATTCTCTCACATTAAGATATTTTGTATTCAGATTGAATTCAATAATCACAGCAGCTTCTTTATACATGGAACAGATTGATGTTGCTTTTTCTTCAAATTAGAAAAAAGGCCAAACAACAGCTTGAATTGTGTTTTTTTTTCTTTTGCTACAGATTCCAAGTGGTGGCCTCACTGAAATTTGCCGAAAACCTGTATCGCCTGGAAATATCTCTTCTATAACTGATTGGCTAGTTTCTGTTGGCCTCCCAATGTACTCAGTCTCTCTCAGAGCTGCAGGAATCAATGACTTAAGTAAAGTGCCTTCTCTGTCACAAACGTCACTTCATGAGGCTGGCATCACTGAAGAGAGGCATATAAGCAAGCTTTTAGCAGCAGCGAGACTTCTGAACCCAGAAACAATTTAACTCATTCTGGAATATAGTATTTTTTTTTTTGTTGGAAAACCTATCATTTCTTTTAAAAGCAATTTCATCATTAATTGCTCTCGAAAAAGCTTTGGGAACAGGCAAATCTGGTCCTGGAGAAGACTGGAGTTCTTTGCGGTTTCATCCCTCTTCATATAAAACTGTAGTATCAGCTGTCCACAACAGGGAAGTGGTATGACCCTAGTTTTTCCTCAAAGAAAAGGCACAAGCAATAGTTTTCGTTTGCTAAGGACTCTTAGCCTTGCTTTTGGCATTACAAAAAAAAGGGGATCATTCTACATTCTTGAAAATTCAACAAACATCTTCAGTTTTTGGGGAAAGGGGTTAGCAAATTGTAGATCTCTAGATACTTTGGTTCTATTAAAAGGCTAAGTGATCATTAAATATTTTTAATCACTTAGCATAGCTAAGTGATCATTAAATATTTTTAATTCAAATTTATATATCCTATACTGAGGGAATATGTAATCCCAACAAACATATTAAAGATTAGATCTGTTTCTAACAGAGGTTCCTTTCACATCCTTTCCATTTCAGCAATTTATATAAAAATATATTAATAAAGCACTGCCTTCCCAATATAGTTTCCTAGAAGGTGGAACTGGAGGTCAGAGTTGAGGAACACAGCTTTCGAATTTCCCCATAAACAGAAGATGAGTCATGGACCAACAGATGAGGGCCACAGATTTCCATCTGACAGTAGCTAGGCGAGAGTTCTGAATTTTATACCTTTTAGCTGATCTTCATTGCAACTTACCAATTTTTTTTAAAGCTCCTTTCTTTAGAATAAAAGTTATTTTTAGAAATTTTATTTAGCAGCCAGTTTTAATTTGCCTTAAAATGCTTTTGAGCAGTTTACTTACCAGTCTTCAGATTTACAAGATATTTCATTGTTGCAGTTTTAATTTACCAATAGCTTATTTTAAAGATTTCCTATATCTCACAACATCTCCTTATGTAAAGTTGCTGTTTTTGAAATTGCAGACTTTAGTTCTCAGGCTAACAAGATGTTCATAGCTGTTAATGTTTGCTGGCATTACTAAAAGGCTGAAAGATATTTTGCCTTTTGTATGTACATAGATATATATAAATATGATAAAATGCGTTTTCATGTTAATTGCAATTTTGTGTATTGTGATGCATTGTTGTTTGGTTTGCAGCAGCTTTGACTTGGTATCCTGACCATATCAGTGGGACATGGGTTGTTCTGTCTTCCCCAAAGAAAACCTAACTGGCTGAATAAGCAAAATATCACTCATCATCCAGAGAATCAGAAAAGGAATTCTATTTCAGTGAGATTTGGGGGGTAGGGGGAACTCTCAAGCTATAATTCCTGTAAGAGTAGCTAAACATGTCAATTATTAGATATTGAAATGAATGGGTTGCTGAAGCAAACTGTTTTTGTGTTTTTCTTTGTGGTACCATGTTCTTGTTTACTAAAACTATTAAACTATACAATGTAAAAATCTCTTCCTTGTTTCTGTGAATATAGATAAACTTTATTTTTGTACATGATTGGGCATATTATATACCAAATAAGCTTGACACTTCGATTGTCCAGTAGTACCTACTAACTGCTAATTAGCTATAATAATGAAGGCTTTTCATGATAAGTGATGCCCCAATAGTTTGAACATATAACGGACTCAGTCTGAGCCTGGGAACATGAAGCCTAATTTCAAGATAGTTTCTCATCACCTCTTTGTGCCTCCCATTGCATTCATTACCTCTAAAAAAGAAATCGTTTTACAACTTCAAAAAATGCAATATTCAGCTAAGAACATTTCTGCAAACCATAATTCTGCCTTTCCAAGAACTCTTTCTCACCAGATATCTTTCTCCTCTTACTGTCTTTAAGGTATCAGGTATTTGAGGACTTTTACTTTAAAAAAATCTTACCATTCCAACCTTCTCTATTTTATTAGTTTATTGTGATAAGCACAAAAGTGATTAAAGATTTCTACTCACTAAAGGAAAAAAGGACTGTGGTGAACATTTCTTCTCATGTACAAATTTATTGCTTTTTAATTAAATTAATGGGTGACTATATATGCAGAGAAATGTGCTCCGCATGTAGATTGTGTGGTTATAAGCTTGTAAGATTAGCTGGAATTCTCATTTATTTGTAATATACTGTAGAAGTTGATTTTTTAAAAAATTATTACCATAGAAGCTGGAAGGCATAATATGTCAGGGTATAAACAATGGCACTAAGATTTCACATTTACAGAATGACAAAAAGAATCAGTATTTTATACATCTCAAGAAGTACATTCATTAGGAAGGATACGAAATTGTTAAACTGAGATCAGAAGTGCACAAATCCAATGCTGGTTCTGTTGATATTGCTATTTACTTCAATGTATTGTTTATTCTTTTATTTCGCATGCACACAATCCTTATGCATAGAAATTACATATTATTTACAGTACAACAATTAACGCAACTGCTGACCATTTCCCTGGTATTCATATTGATTCTGAAAAAGTGTTAAATCATTTAGTATTTCCATGTTTCAGAGAAAGTCCAGGTGATAGAAGAACCCTCTAGGTTGGAAGCTGTTAACATTAAGCTAGACTCTTGTATTGATCTTCTACGGACAGGTAGGGCCATTTTAATATCCATGGAGGATGGTTTTTAACCAGCAGTTAATCAAAGAGGCAGCACTACATGCTTCACGGACCTCCTGAGAATTGTTCTAATTATAAATTTGCCTTTGGGTGCAAGTGGTAATGCTGTAAATAAAGATATCAGAGCACAACTCCTCATTAATCTTATTTATGCAAACTGTACTGCAGCAATAACGGTCAGTTCACCAAGTCATAGCTGTACATTTGTATTGTATTATTTTTAAGCCACATATTTTGTCCATACTAAACCCCTAAATGCGATTTATTTGGGAGTTAAAAAAAATAAGCAAGTTATGTAACAACTAACAAAAGTTGCACTTTCTGTATATTTAAATAACTTATTTTTCTCCCATTTACTGTTCTTAAATAATGTAAGTAGATGTAATATACCAGCATTTATATGTTCTTGCAATTTGCTTCCATTGCAGAAAGTTGTGTAAAGAGAAAAAAAAGGAAAGAAAATCTTACAAATGTGTAAAGATTACCGTGCTGTTTTACATCGAGAAAAGAAGCAGCAAAATGACTTCTCTGTGTATGAAAACAAGTCTACAATTATGTACTGTTGTTCAAAGGAAAATAAAATTCATGTTGATATATTATCTTTTTAACGTTCTTTTACACGCTGCAATAAAAATGGAAACAATAAGACAAAAGAAGACTAGAATTTTGCAGAAGTGTTAAATTTCAAAGAAAGTTGGAAAAGTGTCTTCCTTAGCAATCTGGCAGGTAGGCCTCACGGCTGTCACAGTATACCACTGAAAGGTTCAGCCAACAGAGATTCATTGGTGATAATATTTGACTGATCACTTGGGAAAGAGAATTCTGAAGATAGATGTGGGTCGATATATCATTCCTAACCCCTTCATTCCTGGATATTCTCCCAACGAAGATTTTGTCAGCCATGGGGTGAAGTGGTTATTGATTATGAAACCTATCTTGCAGCCTTCTTTTCCATAATTTGTGTCCTGGGATATCTCTTGGTATTAAGATTATATTCAGTCTTAATCCATTAAAATTAAACCAGTTGGGATCTGGGATCCTCCGGAGTATTATCGAAGTACAGCCTCAAAGTGATGCTCCCCTGGAAATTCAGTCTGGTTCTATTCTCTTGTCATTTTATTTATACCGGTGTTTTTCAAACTTGGCAACTTTTAAGATGTGTGGACTTCAACTTCCAAAATTTTCCAGCTAATATCAAATTGCCAAATTGAAAAACAAATTCATTGTTTTTCTCACCCTTCCCAAATTATACTTACTATCTCCATAAACGGGCTTAATTTAGTCAGATAATGGTTACTAAACTGAAAAGTTATTGCTTCCGGTGACTGACTTAGTTTATATTTTTGCTCTTTTTTACATAGCATTAAATTCAACAGCTAGCAAATGTTCTGTATTTAGTAAAAGATACAGTGAAAATGTGCATTTTACACAAGTTATATGAAGTATAAAAAGTAACACATAGTAACATTCCTTTCCATGAAATCACCCTAATAGTATTAGTACCTAGGATAAAAATATATATTTCAATTTTCAGTACTGAAGGCTGTTACAAAAATTTACAAAGATACAATACAATATATGGTGGAAAAACCAGGCCATGATTAACAATTATCTAGGATCATACTAATTTATATACTGCTCGAATTGAATGTATCAACTGCCATTTTGCTATTAGTTTGAAATTTTCCCTGGACTGCTTATCTTATTTATAATATCTTTTAATATTTACACAAATTGCAGATGGCTTCCAATGAGGTAAGACGTGACAGTAAAACCAGAATATAAGGATAAAATATAGTCAATTTCAAGGAAATATTTTTTAAAAAATAAACTTCAAGAACTTTATTAAGCAAAGCCTTCACAAGTAGACAACGCTAAATGGTTTCCCTTTTTAGCAACCAAAGTTTCAGTGACATTGAAAAAATAACTTTACAACCAGTCCTCCTACAGTTTACAACTGTTTTGTAGTGTCCCCGTCAAGTCATTGAAATTCAAGCATTTTGCAATTGATGGGCATTTACTATCAATACAGCAGCCCACAGTCATATGACTGACATTTGTGTGCATCACAGCCAGCGTCTGATAATTAATGGAGAATCTGCTAGTAAAATCGCAAATTGCAATCATGTGCTATCTTAAAGACAGTGGGTGATTCTCTTAATGATGCTTGAACTGACTTCATTACTCCATTGTGGTTTTCTGGGTGTGTTTTTTTAATATCAGTTGCTTAGTGATTAAGTTTTTGCCAGTCTCAATTGTGGTCCTTTATTAGCAAGAACTACCTGTATTAAGTTGTAGAAGATTAAGACGGGAATTACCATTTATCTACCAATAGTAGGATGCTCCATCGTTAAAGAACACTCTCAGAAAAGCCCCACTTTCAGTCAAACAAACCTGTCTTTCAGATTTAGGCAACTGTCAGGCAGCCACTTCTCAACTTTTATCAATCATAAAAAAGGAAGAAATCAGCAGAAATTGTAAGCATCTTTCCTTTGCAAAGTTAGACATCCATCTTCATCCCTGACTCAGCAGTTCATTCCCGCAGGAGGGCAGCTTTCCAGCAAATGGAAAGAGGGCATTCCCTACAGGCATTGTTATACTTATGATACAGCCACAGCCTGTATTTAAGCTACTTTTCAGTAACAAAATAGAAATAAAAAACCAGCATGACTGTAACAGTCAATTCTTTCCTATATTCTTTTAACAAGGAATAGTTATGTCTTCTGAAGAGGCTGCAGCAGAAGTAATTCTGGAATCTTGTCAAAATGAAAGTATTTTCTGCTCCTTCTGTGATGGTATGAGCCTGATAAAATTTAAGCAAAATCACTAATGTGCATATAAGAATATAGAGAAGTAATGAAATTGCTTTCAGAAAACCATCTACAAATATTCTGGTACTATGTTCTAACACGGGGGTGTCAAACTGGCAGCTGGCAGGCCGGATGCATCCTGTGCAGGCCACACCCACCCCAGCTCCACAAAGGGGGGAAAGTCGCAAAATGCCACATGACGGCAATGTGATGCGAGTTTGACACCCATGTTCTAACAGAAGTGAGGAAATGCCTTAATGATCCTTTCAAGTAACTTGATATAATCCAGATAATCATCATGAACATCATCAGCATTTTTTAATAATGTGGAATCTCTGCAATATATAGCTAACCAGAAATTGCTATGAAAAAGTAAATTCAGATTTTTAGAGATGGCAAAATATTAATACTCTAATCTTCTTGGCAGTTGTTTGGTTTCCAGACTGTCCCATTTCCAATCTATTCCAAATAGTTAAAACAATCAAATGGATGCATAGTGAACCAAGATGTGACAAAGTTGAATGAAATGTGGATTTTGTTTGAAAAAGAATATCCCTAGGGAATATTTATCAGCAAACGCTTCTTTCAGGCCAATTTAAAAATATTATTGCTTAATAAAATGGCGAATCTTGTTTTGTGAAAATTATAAAATTGCAGTGAGTTGAACAACAAGAAACAAATAAGACAGCCACCAACAGATTCATTATATGAGACAGGCAGTGATATAAGTTCTGTAAATTAAAACAAGAAGACTTGTGGGAACTAATAGTCTCACAGAAACACCCCAGGGCACTGACCAAATCTCTGTTCAATTTGATTTTGGCTTAAACATTCTTTTAATTGAAAATAAATTAAAACAAGAAACTGGCTTGCTGCAGTCACAGCCACCAGCATCATCTTGATTTTTTAAGAATACTTCTGAACTCCATATTTGCCTCATAGGCATTCTTTAAAAATAAAATAAAAAAATGAGAGGCCATAAAAATAACTATGCATGTATAAATAAATTAATAAGTGCCTAGAGCAAAGCCTTCAAAAATTTGCTCACATATGTGGTACAAATAAGCAGGTATATTATGAAAAGTTAGGAAGATTAAAAGATGGGGTCATTGAAGTCTAAAGGGAAGAGTGGGGTGTAACACTTTGAGGTTGCTCTTGACTGTTTTATGAACACAGTACCATTGCATTCATAGGCCATTGAAATAAGGTCCTTATTTTGGTACCAAGAAAATATCTATCATACCTTCTCTTTCTTCATAAGTGAGCAAAAGTTAGTTACTGACCCCCTCATTTCTTGATCCAGGCTTACTAGTCATCTATATACTACTTAAACTCATTGACTTTTAACTGGGTGAAACAGTGCATCATTGGGCAATGGGTTTTGAACCGAGATACCTCAAATCAGCTAACTTACATAATGTGTCCAAACTCAAGCACTCATGACTCCTAGGCAATGAAATTTGGGGAATCTGTGGTTCTTTCAGTGCTACCGGCTCTTGCTGCACTGCTGCTGGGGTCATGTGATTTTCATTTTTTTTTTAAAATAAATTTTATTTGGGTTTTCACAAAAAAAACATAATACAAATAAAACATATTTCTTTGAGAATAGCCTGATCATGGGTTATCACTTCTTCATACAGACACAAACTCAATTTCATGTTCATCCTTGTATTCTAGTCCATATCTTATTACTATTTAACATTTGCTACGTAGTTTTTCCCCTCCCTTGATTTTCTCAACTTTATTTTTAATTATCTCATATCTCAATTCAAATCATTATATTTGTACTTTTTGTCTGTCCTGTTTCAATTTCATATTATCTTTTCTCATTAAACAAAATTTCCCCTGTAGTTACTAATTGGAGTATGACCTTTTTATATCTTTTAATTTTATCCATTCAACTCTTATTTAAACTTCAATTTATACCTTTAAGATTATAACAATCAATATAATACATAACTTCCAAGCGAGTTCTGCTTGGTACATTCTTAAAGTATACACTATATTCTTAAAAAATTATATATATATGTAAATAAAACACTCATTCCATTCCAATTCAATTCTATCGTTAATATTCATGAAAATCTTGACATATTTTTCTTTTCAATTGAATATCATACTTCCTTGTGAACACTTATAAACTTTCCATAATTAATTCTTTTTTTTTCATATTTCTCTTCACTTATATTTTTATAAATCATTAATAATAATTAAAATGTTCCCATTCTTTCCTAATTTCATTCTCTCATTCACTTTCTTTCACTTATTTATTAACTATATTACAATAAATATTTTATCCATCATTTTAGTCATCATATTTTCTAAAAATTATTTCTATTTTTAATATCACAATACTATCTTATGTACCATTGCAGAATCTCTTTTCAATTAAATTTTCACCCATTATCTCTAAACAGGCTTATATTTTCAATCCTTGTGCCTTTTCCCTGTTTCTCTGTATCTTGTTTCTGTCTTTTATAACTTCTTTTCCTTTCCTTCTTCCCCCACTTCTTCTCCCTCCCCTTTTCCCCCCTTGTCTCTCTACTTCTAATTCTCTCTTCTATGATCCCCTCTTCTGTTGCTTTCTAATATTGTAATTATTTTTCCAAGTATTCTTTTTTTTCATATCTTAGACTTTTCACTCTCTTTCCCCCCTTTCCTTCCCCCCCCCCACATAACATTACTTGATCATTAAAGATGGCTTCTTCTTTGTCCAGATCTTCTTGTTGTATAAGTGTTTCTTGTTGTTTCTCATAGTTCCAGATCTCCTTTTCT